AAATATAGATACAGTGTTCCTTTAGCTGACAAATTCAGCAAAAAAGATACACCAAGATGGATTACAGGGGTACTAAAAAGGGCCTAACCCTTATAACAATAATTAAACAAAAAGAAGGTGAGGAGTAAGGATCCCTTTAACATGGGAGACAGAACAACTCACAGCTAGTACCCCTTGTGGAGCAATAAAGAGTGCACTTAACTCCTGTGTATTAAACAGATTAAACCAAAAATAATAAAGTTTTAATGTAGTCAAAAAAAGTCTGTAATACACTCAACTGTTACAAATGGATAAAAAAGGACCTGGAGAGTCACTCTGGGCTGCACATAACTATATACTGTGCCTGGATACTACGTTGCCACAAAAGTAGCAACAGTGTAAAAGTAGCAGAAAAACTATTCGTAATAGGCACCAGTGCAATAATGTGCATAGATAATTGTGCTAGCAAAACAGGTGAGATCTACACTTACGGTCCTAGAAAAACACACAAACAAAATCTCCACTATTGCATATCAGGTTTGGGAATATAAAGTATAATATAGCGTCCTAATGTGAGGTATAAATATGACTATTGGCCTCAGCCAGTCTAATAACAAATGGTTAAATCGAAAGGACAGAGAGATATAGAGTTAGGAGATCGAAAAATAAAGGTGGGAAGGTAGTGAAAGTATAATTCAGTATAGGGCAAATCGCCCAAATCTGGCCCCCCACAGTTTGTAGCAGAAGCCCAACGCGCGTTTCGGCGGTAAAATCCGCCTTTCTCAAGGGTAGTGTGCAAGTTCCTCTCCTCCGTCCCCTCCCTTAAAAGCACTCACATTTGGCGCCAAACTATAGACCGCCCATCACCGATGGGCTGTACCTCAGTTTTGCAACGCCCTTTGAGTGACTCATTCGTGGGAAAACCCTCAATTACGTAGATAGAACCGGGTACTACTGCGCATGCGTCAGATGCCGGCACTCGGTCCGTGCTGTGCGCATGCGTGCGCAGTCTGCCGGTATCGGAGGGGTATATTACAAAGTGTCAATTGCTTGTATCCAAGTGGCATCCAGCCAAGGGATACAAGTATATAAGTTGCATAAAATACAATACATATATACGATCCTATTGTCTTGATCGTCCTTTTAGGATAGTAGGATTCAATGTAAGGTCACATTACATATGTATATATATAGCGCTAAGTGCATAGAATTGACCAACAGGTCTAATACAAACAAGCACAATATAGATAATATACAGCTATACATTTATATACAGTACATCCATATTCCCATTGAAGGGAGGAAAATCCTAAATCGTCTATACATATTTTTACAGGACACATCGATGGTCCCATTAAGGGACAAAAGGGAGGAGACAAAAATAGGAGAGGTTTGTAAATAAAGTATAGACAATAGTGTAAAATATTACATCAATCATTCATAGTTATGACAGGTTTTCTTAGGGTAAGAACTGCCCATAAAATACGGCTCGCATAGATGCATATATAGATGTACATATATATACAGACACATATATCCACCATAGCAGCTCAGAGGAATGGAGCAAAAGAAAAGCCCTCATTTAGACCCAAGGGTTGCAATGTCTTGAGTCTATAGATCCATCTAGACTCTCTCTGTCTCAATAGGCGATCATAATTCCCCCGCCTCTGATGTCTTTTAACCAATTCAAGACCACAGAACTTCAAACCACCAGAGTCACCCCGATGGTGTTCTTTTAGATGTCTTGAAATTGGCGTTTCGAGGCGGTTCTTAGGGGACCTGACATGTTCCATTATCCTTTCTTTGAAGGCTCTAAAGGTTTTGCCTATATATTTTTGTCCGCATGAGCAAGACAGGAGGTAAACCAGGCCCTTCGTGTTGCAGTTAAAGAAGCTTCTAATCTTAACCGAGGCTCGACCGGTACTATCAGTAACAACTTTTGATTCTTTGGAAATGTATTTACAAGCTACACATCTACCACAACCATAGGAACCACATGGAGGATTTCCCAACCATGTGTCCCTTGGCTGTGGTTTAATAGATAGATGGCTTGGTACAAGAAGGTCACGAATATTACGTCTCCTTCGGGCCGTGATCTGAGCGCATGGACCTAGGACCTCTTTTAGATGTATATCGTTCAAGAGAATCGGCCAGAATCTATTTAGGCACTTTTTCGCTTCGGACCAGCCCGTGTCGTATGTGGCAATCATCCGAATGTCTCCTACGTTTTTCGAGTTTTTGATGTTCTGATGGTCACTAAGCAGGTCCTTCCTTTCTACTTCAAGTGCTCTTTTGTAGGCTTTTTTGAGGCAGCGATTTGGGTAACCCTTTTCCTTAAATGACAGACGAAGTTGGTCTGCCTTGATTTTAAAATCCGCTAAATCGCTACAATTTCTCCGAAGACGGAGGTATTGGCCTACTGGGATCCCCGCCTTCAGAGGTCTTGGATGGTAACTATTCCAGTGAAGTAAAGAATTTGTGGCAGTTGGTTTCCTGAACAGAGTAGACTGAAAAGTCCCATCCTCATTAATAGAGATCGTAATGTCTAAAAAATTAATAGAACGTCCCCCAAATTCTGATGTGAATTTGAGGTTCTCCGTGTTCTCATTTAGGCATTCCACCAGATCTGCAAAATCCTTATTTTTCGATCTCCTAACTCTATATCTCTCTGTCCTTTCGATTTAACCATTTGTTATTAGACTGGCTGAGGCCAATAGTCATATTTATACCTCACATTAGGACGCTATATTATACTTTATATTCCCAAACCTGATATGCAATAGTGGAGATTTTGTTTGTGTGTTTTTCTAGGACCGTAAGTGTAGATCTCACCTGTTTTGCTAGCACAATTATCTATGCACATTATTGCACTGGTGCCTATTACGAATAGTTTTTCTGCTACTTTTACACTGTTGCTACTTTTGTGGCAACGTAGTATCCAGGCACAGTATATAGTTATGTGCAGCCCAGAGTGACTCTCCAGGTCCTTTTTTATCCATTTGTAACAGTTGAGTGTATTACAGACTTTTTTTGACTACATTAAAACTTTATTATTTTTGGTTTAATACACAGGAGTTAAGTGCACTCTTTATTGCTCCACAAGGGGTACTAGCTGTGAGTTGTTCTGTCTCCCATGTTAAAGGGATCCTTACTCCTCACCTTCTTTTTGTTTAATTTACTGTGGGCTACCCACCCGTATTTATGCAGGTCTCCCACTTGGTGGACACTCCCCTAGAGGACCAAATGGGAGACTGTAATGGCAGATGGACATACAGCATTTTAGGACACACAGGCACATGATATTCCCAGCATGCATCATGGTTTCCTCCCCTCTGCCCTGGAGATAATTGAGAAGTAATTCAATTCTCTCCCAGGACAGAGGCAAATCGCCATTTTAGATGCGACCCAAAAAACATAAAAATTATATAACTTGACACACAGGCGGCTTTTGCAGGGTCTAGCAAGCTATCATAGCAGGGGATAAGAAAATCTAAATTAAACAGAACTTTACAGGAAGTGTTTATGGAAGGCTGTGCAAGTCACATGTAGGGAGGTGTGACTAGGATTCATTAACAAATGGATTTAACTCCTAAAATGGCAGAGAATTGAGCAGTGAGACTGCAGGGGCATGTTCTATACACCAAAACTGCTTCATTAAAGGACCACTATAGTGCCCTGAGGGTGCCCCCGCCCGCCGTGCTCTGGGGAGAGGAAGGGGTTAAAATCTTACCTTTCTCCAGCGCTTGGTGGGGAGCTCTCCTCCTCCTCCTCCTCTTCGGCTGAATGCGCATGCGCCGCAGGAGCTGCGAGCGCATTCAGCCAGTCTCATAGGAAAGCATTCATAATGCTTTCCTATGAACGCTTGCATCTTCTCACTGTGATTTTCATAGTACATAGTGACGATTAAAACACTGTTTTTTTGTTTTTTTGATACAAATTGTGTTAATTTAGGAAAAGTAGAGCTACATAAACAGTGATTTGCGCAGTGATACTGCAGGTGCATGATCTGTACACTAAAACCACTTCTTTAACTCCTTAAGGACACATGACGGAAATATTCCGTCAGGATTCCCTTTTTTATTCCAGAAGTTGTGTCCTTAAGGGGTTAAGTTCGTTGTTTTTTTTGCTTAGTGCCCCTTTTTAACCCCTTAAGGACCAACCTTCTGGAATAAAAGGGAATCATGACATGTCACACATGTCATGTGTCCTTAAGGGGTTAAGGTAAGTGGTTTTGGTACTTAAACTGCCCATTTTAGTATCTGACTTTTTATAAATTATTTGGCTACAAAACTTTACCAGACAGGAATTTGTGTATATATTATGCCTTTTGGAACCGATAATGTCTTTTCATTTAACAAGGATTGAGTGCAGTTCCATACTGTTGATTTTGGCAAATATTTTAATTTTATGACTAACTTCGATGGAAGATGTCTTATATTTATATTTTATTTCAGTTGTGCTTTTATTTCCATGGCAATAACATGCAGAAGTTGCATAACTTTTCTGTACCATTCAGTTTTGTGTGGGGATGTTTGTCATCCTAATAAACCAAAGCCAATGTCTACACCTAAGTGTAAGCCATGATGTTTGAACTTGTCATTGGCTTCTGGGTAGAGTGGGCCATAGAGTGCCACCTACAGGCTTTTAAATCAAACTTAGAAATGTTCTATTCTTGATGCACACACTATTTGAAGAGAGAGATGTGCTACTACTATGGTTATAATGCATCACTGAACATTTTATATTAAGTGCTACCGTGGTACTTTTTGCAGGTGTGGTAAAGATCTTGGTGAGACAGGCCCCACGAGAAACTTCAATGTCTTCACCCCGTCCTTCTCTTGGTTCACCTTTACATTTGCCTCAAAACATAACTCGTCCACTTTTACGTGTCCTGCCAAGCACGCTTCCAGACAATGCCAACCCTAGAGCTGGGACTGGGGAAAGATCAGGTATGTGATGGGCATCGATTTATGTATTCGTTGGTCCAAAGGTCGGGTTTCTTGCACCACAAAGAAGTTATATCCAATGTCGGCTTACAGGTAGTTCCATATATTTGAGGGGTAGCACTTTTTTTAATCCTCAAAAATAAATGTTGGGTAGTCTGAAGTGTTAACTTTTTTTTTTTCTCTCCTTTCTAGCCCTTCCTGTTTTTTCTACTGCAGCTTGTGCGGTTGCTACATCTTCCATCACATTAGCCGCAAGCCCACTTCTTATGGTCTCCAGTCCTACACTGACTTCAAGACTCCCAGCCCCAAACCCTGTTCCCAGCCTTCATAACCACAATGTGCCAGTCAATGCAGAGGGCTCCCCAGCTGTTTCTGGTGTGGCACTTCGGCTACTTGCTAGTGGAACTTCAGCTACCCTCCAGCTCACCAACCATCACTCGTCACCACCAAGACATTCTCAGAGTCCTGCCCTCCAAAGCTGCCCAGCACAAAGCCCAATCTTTACCAACTGCTCTTCTTGTCCAGGACAGATTCCTGGCTTTGCTAATTGTTCCCCTGGCCAAATTGTAACTTCTGAATCTAAGACTTGTGCTGTCTTGCAAAAGGTTTCTCAGTCAGACACAGGTTCTAACAGCCAGGGCCTGTCCTTATCCACAGTCTCTAATGGCAATGGATTTGGGCAAAATAAAGCTCAAGAGCATAAAGACTCTCTTATCCCCCAAACTCTAACTCAGCCGATGTCCTCTCAGTGTGCTTCTGGCCCAAGCCCAGACCATGTCCAGTTTGTCAGTAACCTGAACCCAACCCCTGCCTCACCCCCTGCCCTTTGCAATTCTAACCATGCACCAGGAATTCCCAAACTGGCCCCTTCCAGTTACAACATTAATCTAGTTCCTACCCTTCTCACAAACTCTTCTCCTTCCACCGTCTCCAGTTATAGCCCTGTCCCTGCACGCTTCCTCACTAGCCCTGTGTCTCTTCTAACCCTTTCTCCTTTACCCTCTACCAATAGTAGCACTGCTCCGATCTTGTACACACATGCCAATGTAAACACACTTTCCTCTCTTGGTGCATCTGCAGTGAGTCACCAAACAACCATTCCTTTGCCCACAGTTCAGACATCTGCTTCTCTGCCCTTGCTGTCAACTTCTATGCCTCTGGCTTCTCCTGTACCTCCTCTTTCTGCCATGGCTTCCCAGGCACCCGGCCGCCCTCCTTCTGCCCCGGCGCAGGCAGCCTCACTTCTGCTTACGGCGCGACTGCGCCCTCGCCCCTGCTGCCCGGCGCCGATGCGCCCTCCTTCTGCCCCGGCACCCGGCCGCCCTCCTTCTGCCCCGGCACCCGGCCGCGCTCCTCCTCCTTCTGCCCCGGCACCCGGCCCAGCTCCTCCTCCTCCTTCTGCCGCGGCACCCGGCCCAGCTCCTCCTCCTCCTTCTGCCCCGGCACCGGCCAAACCATCTCTCCTTCACCGCCCGGCACCCGGCCAGCTCTCCTCCTCCTCCTTCTGCCCGGCACGGTAACTCCTCCTCCTCCTTCTGCCCGGCACCATCCAGCTCCTCCTCCTCCTTCTGCCCGGCACCCGGCCCAGCTCCTCCTCCTCCTTCTGCCCCGGCACCCGGCCCAGCTCCTCCTCCTCCTTCTGCCCCGGCACCCGGCCCAGCTCCTCCTCCTCCTTCTGCCCCGGCACCCGGCCCAGCTCCTCCTCCTCCTTCTGCCCCGGCACCCGGCCCAGCTCCTCCTCCTCCTTCTGCCCCGGCACCCGGCCCAGCTCCTCCTCCTCCTTCTGTCCCGGCACCCGGCCCAGCTCCTCCTCCTCCTTCTGTCCCGGCACCCGGCCCAGCTCCTCCTCCTCCTTCTGTCCCGGCACCCGGCCCAGCTCCTCCTCCTCCGCTTCTGGCCAGCGCGTGTCCACTCCTCCTCCTTCTGTCCAGCCCGGCTGGCTGCTCTCCTGCTGTCCGGCACCCCATTTGGCTCCTCCTCCTTCTGGCCGGCACCCGGGCCGAAATATCCTCCTCCCCTTCTGTCGGCACCGGCCAGCTCCTCCTCACTCCTTCTGTCCGGCACCCGGCCCAGCTCCTCCCCTCCTCCTTCTGTCCCGGCTTCCAGTTAGCAGCTCCCTCCTCCTCCTGCTGTCCCGGCCACCCGGCTGACTCCTCTCCTCCCCTACTTTCCAGCGCTGACCCAGCTCCCTCCTCTGTCCCGGCACCGGCCGGCTCACCTCCTCCTCACTCATGCTGCCCGGCACCCAGTGGCTCCTCCTCCTCCTCCTCCTTCTGCCCCGGCACCCGGCCCAGCTCCTCCTCCTTCTGCCCCGGCACCCGGCCCAGCTCCTCCTCCTTCTGCCCCGGCACCCGGCCCAGCTCCTCCTCCTTCTGCCCCGGCACCCGGCCCAGCTCCTCCTCCTTCTGCCCCGGCACCCGGCCCAGCTCCTCCTCCTTCTGCCCCGGCACCCGGCCCAGCTCCTCCTCCTTCTGCCCCGGCACCCGGCCCAGCTCCTCCTCCTTCTGCCCCGGCACCCGGCCCAGCTCCTCCTCCTTCTGCCCCGGCACCCGGCCCAGCTCCTCCTCCTTCTGCCCCGGCACCCGGCCCAGCTCCTCCTCCCCCTCCCCCCTCTGGCTGCCCTGCTCCCTTTGCCCTGGCCCCTGGCTGCACTCCTCTGCCTTCCCCGGCTACTCCAACCTCTGCTCCTCTTCCTGTTCTGGCTGTTTCTTCTCCCACAACTGCTTTTGGAGGCACTGTCCCAGTGACCACACGAACAGCTTCTGTTCCTGCCTCTGTGGGTGCATTGGCAACTCATGCCCCTTCCTCCTGGCAGTCTATTCAGCCCCTTCTTGCGCATGCTCCTGCACCCCTGGCCGCTCCTGTATCTGCTTTGACCTCTCCTTCCTCTGGGCCTGTGGCCGCCCTGGCCGCACTGACTCCTCCCCTTGATACCAATCTGGCTGCTCTGGGAACTCAGGTTTCCACTCCTCTAGCTGTGCTTGCATCTCCCACCCCACTGCAAACCATGGCAGGTTCCATATCTGTTCCTTTCTCTTTACTTGCTGCTTCGGTGTCTGAAACTCTGCCTTCCCTGGTTTTGTCAACACAGTTACCTTTAGTAACAACCTCAGGAACAGAGCCTGTGCCATCTTTTTCAGCTAGTGCTGCTCTGCTCCCATCAGTGGCAGCTGCTGCGTCACTTCCCCTGATAACTTGTTCAGATATTAATGCTCTTCCATCTGTCCCCATGCTTTCTACTAGCCTCCCACCATCTTCCTCATTACCTGTGCTGGCTGCAAAGAGTACATCGAATGTCCTAGCACGTGGCTCTGTCCCTCAAACCTCTGCACAAGCTTCCCATTCTTCACTTCTCTCCTGCCCCTCTCCATCTTCATCCTCTGTATCTGGTTCCTTTCCTGCAACTTGGACAGCTGGCACCTCCGCAAGGGCAATTACTTGTCTGCCATCTCCTTCTGTCACCATATCTACCCGGCTGCCTTCTGCAGTCTCATCACTAGCTCATCTCCCAATGTTAGCAGCTTCTGCCCACTTACCCTCAGTGGTGTCTCCCACCCCTGCATCTGCCTCCTTGCCGGTTTTGTCATCCCCCGAACACGTTACCCTTCCATTGCTGGCTTCTCCGGCATCTAACTTACTGCCTTCACTTGACTTTCCTGTGAGTACAACTCAGAGTGCTCCTGTGACCCCCTTAGCTACTACCCACTCTTTAATCGCATCTCCTTTAGTTTGTCCATCATCACAAGCCCCATCTTCTGTACCGCTCTCATCAGTCCCTTCATCCTCTTCTGCTCCTGTGTCCACTCTGTCTTTTTGTATCTCTAGCACAGTGTCTTCCCCCTTGTCCAATTTTAATGACTCTATTTCTGCCCCAGTTTCTGACTCCATTCCCCCTATGGCTTCTGCTACTCCTACTAGTGTGCCCAATACACATATGATAGGCCCAGATCCCCCTTTGTCTCTGTCAGTTGCTGGCCCCCCGTCAGTCAGCGTTACTCTAAGCTCAGCTACAGAGTCTGATATGCTGCTGGATGGGGATGGCCTCCGCTCCACACATCCCTCTATGGTATCAGGCTCGTCAAGGCCCAGAAGACAACCACCACCTCCACCACGATCACCATTTTATCTGGTAAGTGCCTCTTCTTTTCACTGTCATTGTATGTAGAGCTCAATGTGGAGCAGAACCCTTTACATGTCAGTTCCTCATGCATGGGTAGTGTAGGATCCCTTTCTATATTAGTCTGTAATGGTGGGGTGTTTGGGATCATGAAAGAGGATGAGAAGATCCCTTTGTATTTGGCCTTTGATGTCTTCATGAACCAATGTGTTGTTTTTTTCGGGGGAGGGGGGTTCATGGAGAGGAAAGATGAGGTCCCTATGGAATTTGTATTTGGATTAGTTAGAAAAACCCTTGATTTTGTGTTGAATAACTTTTTTCTTGGAGGATGAACCCTTTTATATTTCTGGAGATTTCAGGGAGTAGAGAATTTGTTATAGGGTTTTTTGTATTGAAGAAAGCTTAAGGATGGTGAGATCTATATGTTCATATATTGAGCATAGGTCTATAATTGTCTCTTCTCCTTGATCTTCCTTTAAGGAACCGTTAGAAGAGCGGAGACGTAAACACAAAGTGGAACGGCTGGAGAGGATCTTCCGCCTAAATGAGCAGCGTTGTGGGCTTACTCCAGTTTATGGCACAGAGGTCATACAGTTCTGCACCCTCTCTGATAAAGCCACCATTGCATGGCCCAATTCATGTCCTTTTGCTTCAAATCTACAGGATTACTGGCTCCAGACCAATGCTTTCAAAAACTGCATCTTTACCCCACAGCAACGCCTGGAGCAGCTAGGCCCACTTATAGAGCGGTACGTAGTATCCAGATTGTTCACATCTGGCAAGATTCGATTTTGTAGAGAATGAACATGTCTATTGCTATTTATTTTTTTAACATTTAGGTGGATCCCACAATAAAGTTTAGTACTGACCTGATTGTGGATTAAAGTACTATGCCCCTTCATATTGCTTATTAACTCTGTACTTTTTTTTTTTTTTTTGGCAGATTTATCTTTGCAATGCCTCCTGTGGAGGCCCCACCAATCAATATGCACACCTCGCACCCTCCTCCATCGCTGCTTCTACAAGAGTCTCTATTCAAGGAGACTCTAAGCAGGGATCTGAGGCCGCACACTCGCTGTCTGCACCGCATTGTTTCCAACATGCGGACACAGTTTCCTGATCTGCGACTTATTCAGTATGACTGTGGTAAGTTTATCGGGCTCATATCCTCTGCAGACTTTTATTCGAGACAAAAAGGCAACGTCAAGTCTCTAACAGACTTTGTTCACATCATCACATTTTTCTTTTTTTAAAATAGGAAAGCTGCAGACCTTGGACCGATTGCTACGGCAGTTAAAATCTGGAGGACACCGGGTTTTGATCTTCACTCAGATGACACGCATGTTGGACATTTTGGAGCAATTCCTCAACTACCACGGGCACATTTACCTGCGACTGGATGGATCAACTCGTGTGGAACAGAGACAGGTAGATAAGGGCATTGTCCAATACGTCTGAATACCCACTTTGAACCTGGGTAGTAGCTGCTGTGTTATTTGCCCCAGCCAATCCTGGCATTGATATCCTATAAACACTGGTGTAGATCAGTTGATGTACTCCCCAAGTTAATAGCCGGCACTATTTTGCCAGCGGTGCTTTAGAATACACAGTGTACTCCGTTGTAAGTTTTAAGCTTTTCCATTTGTGACAAAGTCCTTACATCACTTTATTTACCTCTTCTGTTTATTTTGTCCAGTTCAGAATTGTCACTGCTGCAGGGTGATGTGAGATTAACTGATGTGAGAATAATCATGAATTAAAAAGGAATTCAGAGTCAATCTTTGGCCATAAATGTGAAATTCACTTTGAAATCCTGACTAGTGAATAACTGCAAAACAAAGTCTGAAAGAGGGTAAAAAGAAAAGCAGATTTTGGTCCTTTACCGATAAGGTGGGAAAAAAGTCCCCAATATGTTTAAAAAACAGTAATCATAAGAAAATGGTTAAAGTGCACAAAACCAGAGCAAATGTGAAAATCAGTTTTTATAAGCATCATAAATGTATTTTACAGATCTGTCCAACATGTTGTTTACTGAACTCTTTCCTTAAAATCAGACTGCATTATTTTCACAGCAGCTGCTATGTGGCTGGTGCTTCACAATCAGTCTAACAGGACCTGTCTCTCAGGATGCTGCCATGTGTTCATATCATGTGCACAGCCTTTCAAAGAGACCACACAACATTTACTGTACTTCTAGCTCGTGTCTTGCGGTTTATATTGATGCTTTCACTTGTCTGCTGTTTCTGTTCTATAACCGATCTTGCCACGTGTCTGTTCTTTCTGTTCCATAACCGATCTAGGCACATGTCTCGTCTGCTTCTTCTAGAACCGATATAGCAACGTGTGTCTGCTCTTTCTGTTGTATAACGGATCTAGCAACATGTGTCGGCTCCTTCTGTTTTATAATGGATCTAGCCACGTGTCTCTACTCTTTCGGTTCTATAACCGACCTAGCTTAGTTTTTTGGCTTTTAGCAGGTGCAGTAGGCATGCAGACTCTGCCATAGCTTTCTGTATAGCTTAGGAAAGTGAAGAATAGTTGTGATGTTATCTCTACCGTAGGGGACACTGGGCATTGGGTGAAGGAGAAAGCTGTTCTCTCTGAACCTGCTGGTTGGTCTCGCACATCAAGAGAGAAAGGCAAGTAGCGTATTTACCTGAAGGTCTGTTTCTCGGGGGCACTAGAAAAATCTCGAAGTGGTGTAATTTGATTTGCTACCACTCTGATAGATAACACTGGTATACACTCTTAAGCTTGGTCTGATTGTTCATATATCGTATACCGTAGTAGGGCCCTTCAAATTTTGCAGTCATTTAACCCCTTAAGGACACGTGACATGTCATGATTCCCTTTTATTCCAGAAGTTTGGTTCTTAAGGGGTTAAAGACCTGTGGTTATAAATAAGTGAATTTTGTGCTCTTAAAGAAGAGTGATTGAAACAATCAATTATTAAAAAGTCTGCTACAGCCAGCTAATTATGCAGCTGAAAATGGATTATCTAATGTACAACTAGGATTATACTGCAGTGGCTAGGGCTCTGGAGACTTTCCCTTGTAAAGCAGTGATTATAGATATTATCCCCACACATTAGCTGAGACTAAATGTAGGTGAATAGAATGAACCTTTATTCAACACAGCAATTTAGAAAAATGTGCATTCCCACACCAGGGGATTCTTCATGCAATGGCCTTTACAATAGTCTCACCCTGGCGCCATTCTGTGTGGGGTCCTGATTGCAACATCGACAGACAGATATCTGGTCAAAGGTTTACCGGATCATAGCACAGTCCCAATCCAGATAATCGTTCCAGAGCATTTCCGGTTATCTCCCAGTCAGGCGGTCAATATGCAGGATGGGTCCAGGCAATCCCCATAGGTCCCCAATTCCGGCTGTGAGGCCGAGTAGGCGTCATACCTCTTCCCTTAGTGAAAATAGCCCTTTTTAGTGGATTTTGAGAACAGGTCCATAGTCTGTGGGCAGGTGACACATCTCCAAAAGGCACGGGAGCTTCCGTCACAATCGTCGTATTGTTCATGTTTGAAAATATGACTGATATTCTGTGATATGTTTGAATTCCAATCTTAAGAAAAGCTAGACAAATACCATATCCCAATTCGATACAATTTGGTTGATATATTTTTTTTCATTTTGGTGAACTGTTTTTATATTTGCTCAAATGAAAAAAAGTTTTTTATTTAAAAGTTTTTTTTTTTTTTTTTAATTTAAATTTCTGTTTGTACTCTTCCCCTGAGGATTACCCCATTCTCCACTCTGTCCATTTTTGATACTCAAAAACTGGGTTTCTGGTGGCCTGTTAAACCTACTGCTCGTAAGATTGGCTGCTATCAAAAAAAAGTTGTTTTTTTGTTGTTTTTTTTTTTTTTTTGATGGGAGGGCAGTCCATGCCAAACTGGTTATCAAAACCATTTGGTTAGGTTTTTGATTTGTGTAAACACACCAATGAGGGATTTCTCCTTGTATGAAATATGGTCTGCATGATATCCATTAATACCATGGGTCTCCTCGTGAGCTTTAGTGTTTCATTTTTTGAGTAAAGAGAAGGTGGGAGTGGGTTTCCTCTTATGAAACCCATTGGAGAGGAATAGATAATATTAAGTGGGGCGGATCTAGATTTCCTGTTTTATTACATGCATTCATTAAAGATAAAAAGAAAAGAAGGGTTGCTATTATTTTTACAGAAATGGTAAGGTTCACACTTTTATTTCAGCAAGCAGACTCCCAATTGTTTGTTAATTGAATGAAATAAGTATACATTGGTTAATGTGTATCTGCCAAATGACTCCCTAGTCATGACACTAGAAAAGATTTTGGGACAGGTAGAATTGTCAAAAACTGGAGGTTGTTTTATTGCAGGAGACTTTAACTGTGTACTAGATCTCAATATTGATGATAAGAACAGTCTGCGAATGTGAAAGTCTTTTACTAATACTATGCACACGTTTGGCTGTTTTTGATACTTGGAAATGGTTGTATCCTGCAAAGCTAGCTTTTATCTTTTTTTATTTTTCTAGTGTCCACTTTTCGTATTCACATATTGATAACGTTTGGGTCATTCTGTTCATGAAAACATAGATAAGATTGAAAATGAGACAATATATGGTCAGATCAGTGTTATCACATGGACCAATGAAACGCCCATCATAGAGCCACATGGTGGGTGAATTACTTATTTTGTAATCCAAAAAACCAAACTGATTAAACAACCCAAAACGATATCTCTTATGTCAGTAACTGGTGTGCTTTCAAATCAAAGGCAATTTCATAAGTGTGAATGCGTAGTTCAAGAAAGATAGGAGTGTACACTTGATAACACTTTGAATAAATCCACATCCTCTAAAATGAATTCGGCTTCCCTGATTGCCATCCAAAAACAATATTAAAAATAAAAAAATAAAGATAAGGAGCAATTAACAATGAAGAATTAAGTAAAGGTAATCAAGCGGATAAGATGCTAATGCAGAGGTTGAGACAAAATTGCATCAACTAAATTGACTAGAACAATGGGTGATAGAGGTGCATAGTAAGCTGTATATATACATACCTGGATAACACCAATATTCCATTAATCTTGGAAAAGCAAAGTTTTATCGGTTTGGCATTCGGGATTGGATGCACAGGCCCAAATATCTGCGCTGAGTGGTTTATCTTGCATAATGAAATAAGACAGGGCTGCCCACTGTCTCCTATCCTGTATACCATCTATACGGAGTGAATGAATATTCGAAATAACCCGTTAATAAAAGGCTGCACTGCAAATCAAAGATCTAAAATTTTATTTGTTTATGACCCTAACCACTCCCTTAACTTCTCTAAATTCTTTAATGCTTGAGGTGGAGTCTTACAGTGCAATGTCTAAATTTAAAATCAATATAGTGTGATATAGTGGAATGGCCTTATAAACTGTTAAAACGTGTGTGTGTGTGTGTATGTGTATATGTGTGTATATATGTGTGTGTGTGTGTGTATGTATATATGTATGTGTATGTGTATGTATATGTGTGTGTGTGTATATGTGTGTGTGTGTATTAGTATTTTAATCTCCCATTATTTTAAGAGATATAGCTTTGAAATGTATGTACATAAGAAAACTAAAAGTAAAAATATATTTTGTGATGTCCTTAAAGCGGTACTGCCTGTAAGCTTAATATCAGATTGCTGTGGAGTCAAAGCTTTCGTAACTGTGAGTGGGAGTCCACAAAATCTTGTCAATCTATATATTGAGTACTGCAGTATATATATTTTTTACTTTGAGATCTCAATGTGTCGGGTAAACCTAGTCGTATGGCGCATGTTTTCACATAAAAATGTGTTTGTGTTTTTTTGTCTTTATAGAAGAACTCTCCCCTGATTTGTTTGATGCATTACTTGGAGCAGGGATCGAAGTGCTTGATACCATCTGTATGGATGGAGTACAGCACCTTAACTTGCAAACAGTGAGGCGTATAGAATCCTATACACAGAAAAGATTTCTAACCAGCCCTAGCTGCACTTGGGTCAGGATTGGAGACAGATGGATAACAGAGCCAAGGGTCAGGGATAGCAGAATCATTTAAACAAAGCCATGTGAAAAACCATAACTATCAAGGAATAAGGAATGCTCTCAGGCTACTAAAAATCATGACAGGGCAATGAGGAGAGGTCACAAAGGCTTTAAATAGGCCCCCTGCGCCTTGTGTGACGCCAGAATGAGCGAAACTGGCATGGTTCCCACACGAACTGCTAGCAGAATCAGGGTGAGAGAGACTGAGCGTTGCGCATCATTCTCATCCATGTCTCTCTCTTTCCTCTCTGCACGTGCCCTTGTCTCAGCATTTCCCTTCTTTTCCTAATAAATCTCCAACATGTATGTGATACTTTCATTCTAAAGGCATGCAAAGCATCATGGAAGTTGTAGTTCTACAAAAATCTGGAGACCTACCTTTTGGGCACCCCAGTGCTAAGAAGGGTGGGGGGGAGTAGATATCGGAACACAAAAGCCAAAAGTACAGCTTACGGAGCCTGCGTGATATCCCTTAATTTATATAGTTGTCTAGGTTGAAAAAAAGACTAAAGTCCATCAAGTTCAACCTTTAAACACATTCTTTTATGCTGTTTATCCTAAATGGCGACCATTTCAAACGATGCCACAAAAATTCCTCCTTGACTGCATAATGGCAATCAGAGTTCTTTGGATCAGCATCCTGTTTACATGCATATCAATTATATCCTTGAATATTCTGTTTAAGTACAAAAAATCTACATCATTTAAAAAAATAATAAAAATCTATAGAATCTGATAAGACAATCTCTTCAGAGAATTCCACATCTTTATTGTTCTTACTGTAAAGAACCCTTTTCTCTGCTGTAAGTGAAATCGCCTTTCTTCCAGTCTCAATGTGTAACCTCTTACCTGTGGTATATTCCTGCTAATGAACAGGTTAGCACATAGCGGTTTGTACTGATCCTGTGTATATTTGTTTAGTGCAGTCATATCCCCTCTGGGACATCTTCTTTCTAAGGAAAACAAATTTTTTATTTTTTTTTTGCCTTTCGAAAGGGTGGGGGAGTAAACCTGTGCTTGGCAGTTTCTTTTAATGCTAGAAGGCAGCAACCATAATTACAGGAAAGAGCAGCTATCTGTATTTAGCCAGAATTAACTGAAACACAGCAAATACACATTCCATGTCATTGTCATGCTTCAGGCCTGCGTGGCCCCCTCTCCCTTGATCTTTGTCCATTTTCTACTTTGGTGACTGACCACTCGCTTGCCATCTACCTAATTACCTTAGGAGAGAGCCCAAGTGAGCGTAGGAAGGTAGACATCTCTTCAATATGGTTTACAACCAGGACAGAATGTTACTAGGAGTTTACTGAGAAAAGGGAGACTGTCAGTACCCGGGAGCACAGCCAGGACAGAATGTCACTAGGAGTTCACGGAGGGGTCTTTGTGGCCTCTGGAAACATCCTCTTTCATATGGTCCTCGGCTGGTAAGAGAATGGAGAGGAGGCGACGTGTGGAAAGTCTTTGCTATACACTGCCTCCAGAAAGCTCAATTCCTTGCCCTCCATAAGGGTATTCAAAGCTTCATACTTCTCTCAAATTGAGAGTGGAATCAGTAGCAGACCGAGTTTCTTTAGTGAAGCCCAGGTTCCCATCTATGGCTGTAATGTGTCCCATAAGTGCTGCATTATCATTCTGAACCACAGCTATGTCTGCCAGGAAAATCGCCATGCAGCAAGGCACATATATCTGCTTTCGTGGAAGGGGCACTCACACTGCATCCACTACACAAACACACTGCATCCACTGCACACCCATATATTCTTGAAAAAATAGACAATTATGACTGGCATGTATATTTTGTGAATTTACCTTAATAAAAAGAGAATTTGCAAAAAAATAAACATGTTCAGTTAACAGTGTATTTGTGTAGAAATTGTTTTTTTGTTTTTTCTTTTCAAAATGCTAAATGTACAGAATATCGGTAAGCTATCGGCGTTAAGGTTCACAAATAATCGGTATCGGCTCTAAAAAATAAATATCGGCCGATATAGATATATATATATAGATATATAGATAGATAGATATATATAGATATATTCTCTATCTATCTCTATCTCTCAATCATTATTTATAGGGTGTGTTTGCATAAAGTCAGATTTCCCTTATCCATTCACTGGGCTCATGGTCCTTTGTAACACATAGCCTTCCTTCACTCATGGGCTTTTCTTCCTTTGCGTTTTGATGTGTGAGGACCGCTGCTGTTTGATTTCTGCCATTTTGTGTTTTCTCTCTAGGTCCTGATGGAGCGTTTTAACATGGATAAGCGCATCTTCTGCTTCATTCTTTCCACTCGCAGCGGAGGAGTTGGAGTCAATCTCACTGGGGCTGATACGGTTATCTTCTATGACAGTGATTGGAACCCAACCATGGATGCACAGGCGCAGGATCGATGCCACCGTATTGGACAGACTCGTGATGTGCACATATACAGGTCTATCACAATAGAAATGTCACAAAACGCAACACTTTTACATTATCTCACACTATAAGTTTCATTTCATGTATAAGAATTGAGTGGTGAGCTGGGCAGCGATGCTAATGACAAACCAAATGTAATAAAGGAGTCTTCCCTGTGACAATATTGCAAAATTTAGCTGATAGAACCACGCTGAACACTACTCTTGCCCAGGATCCGTTCTCATATAATTTCCAATAACCGGCCCGCTTTGACACTGCACATTGATTCCATGAGGTCTTCCTTACACCTCAAGCCACTTATAAAGCATCTCCTAGGCCCGATAGCCACAGGCTCCGTCTCACGCATTTCAGGTCCAGAGATATGTGGAGAAGAAGAGTCCATTTGTAAATACATTTTAGGGGGGAATTACAGCTGTTCAGTCAAGCATGCAATAGCCCCCCACTGTAGCGGTGCTTACAGACTTTGAGGTAGGTTTCCTCTAAGCTTCACGGTTACTCTGTGGAGGAGGCTGTGCTCTTTGCTGCTTTACAAGATAGGAACTCCATGTGGTCCAACCTGCACAGTGAAGTCATAATAGACGTCACTTTGGAGTCTCTAGTGGGAGGGACTGATGTACTAGATCTTATAATCCAACTGAATAACATGGCAAATGCGATATCTCCTGATTCATCAAGGTGCCCTTTGGTAGGTAAGTGGCTTTTATGCAGCAAAATTAGAAGCTTCACTGAATTTATTTCTCCAATGCCTGTGCTGGTCTTGGGAGCTCATGTCACGTAACCACTCTGTTTGGTAGTTAGTCTTCGCCCTCACACCAGACATTTTATACAGTGCATGGTAAGGAGCTTGGTACAGTCTGCCAAGTGATTGCTTTAGTGAATTATTTCCTTAAAATCAGACTGCTTTATTTTCACAGCAGCTGCTATGTGGCTGGTGCTGCACAATCAGTCTAACAGGACCTGTCTCTCAGGATGCTGCCATGTGTTCATATCATGTGCACAGCCTTTCAAAGAGACCACATAACATTTACTGTACTTCTAGCCACGTGTCTCGGCTCTTTCTGTTCTATAACCAATCTAAGCACCTGTCTCGGCTCTTTCTGTTTGTAACTGATCCTGCCGTGCGTTTAGTTCTGTCTGTCTCTCTTTATTTAATCCTGTATTTTCTCTTGGTAGTATCTGTACCTAATTATGCTGTCTCTCTGTCCTGTCTGTATTTGATCCTGCCTTGACTATCTGTGTTAATCATGCTGTCTCTCGGTCCGGTCTGTCTGTATCCGATCCTGATATTTATTTTTGCACTATCTCTGTAACTAATCATGCTGTTTCTCAGTCCTGTTTGTCTCTATCCCTGCCATGCCTTTGAGAGATGTCTACCACATTCCTCCACTTCTCATCCATGTTTGTGCCAATTCCTGACAGCTCTCCACTGTATCCATGTTGTATTGCACCAGGTCTCTTAGCTGTATCCATTCCATTTTCTATGAAAAGCTGTGCTTTTTACAGACTTCCTGTTATCTCCTGTTTTGTGCCTGGTATAGTTTTTCTAATCCTCCATTTTGGGGTTTGTTTGTTCTAGGCTGGTGAGTGAACGCACAGTGGAGGAAAACATTCTGAAAAAAGCTCAGCAGAAGCGCATGCTTGGAGACATGGCCATTGAAGGCGGAAACTTCACTACTGCATACTTCAAACAGGTAACCTTGTCACACAGAGATTTCCCTGGCTGCCTTTTGTTAGTTCCCTTCTCATCTTCTGTGAATTCATGAATAAATTCCAACATTACGCAGAATGGATTTTTGTACTATTGGTTCAGTGTCCTAAATATGCAGCTGTAATAGATATTACAGCTACATGAGATCCCAGCCCATGGGAATCCTATTTTTCTCCTCCTAGAATGGCACGTTCTCTGTAATGCTGCAGCCATTTTGCTCCTTTCTTGGTTCGTATTTGAATACTCTGCTTTTTCTTCTGTGCCCATAGTTTTCCATGTATTAAAACTGGTCTCTTTCAGCAAACAATCCGTGAGCTGTTTGATATGGAAGACGTTTCACGCAGAGAGGTGGAGACTCGAGCCGCATCTCCTGACCAAAATCTAGACGATGGCACCGCCAGCCGAGACTCTCATATCCTGGAACAGGTAACTGGGCATGACCCAACATTTATGTAGTCATGGGCTGCAGCGCTTGACTCAGGATGTTAATCAGATTTTGTACCTGGTAAATAAAGCTTGGTCTTTGTCTTGTAGGCTTTGTGCGGAGCTGAAGATGAAGAAGACACATTGGCTGCTTCTCTTGTTCGTGCAGAGCAAGTGGCAGATCTAGCAGAATTTAATGAAAATGCTCCATTAGAGCCAGAAGAGGAGGAACAAAGCCGAGCTGAGCAGGAGATATCTGCTTTGGTTGAGCAGGTAAACCTCCTGATATGTAATGGACCATGTGTATTGGGTTAGCTTTAGTGTGTGCTGATCTCTTAAGGAAAAGTTGTCCTCTACAGAGCTGTGCCTGGGGCTACAATCCATCTTGTGTGTTTATATAGAGCTCTCCCCCATGGAGTCTGCCCCTTGTGCTCTTGACGGTTCCATTGCCGACTGCTGCAGTTGAAATTAAGAATTTTAGCTGGACATATTTTGTCAACTGAGAAATAAACTGACATTGTGGCTCTCTCTCTGCAGCTTACTCCCATTGAACGTTACGCTATGTATTTTTTGGAGGCTTCGCTGGAAGATGTTAGCAGAGAAGAACTAAAGCAGGCTGAGGTGTGCATAGTCTTTATTTTACATTATTTTGTAGGATTTCTGATCTAATCCATGTTCTTCCTTCCCCCTCCATTCTACCCCATGACCTTGTTTTCCCTTACTGTCTACATACGGTTATCCCCAGTGCATTCACTTCCCTCTTATTTCTGGAACTCATACCATGTTTTGTGGGTTTTTGTTTTAATTAGGAGCAAGTCGAAGCTGCTCGCAAGGATCTGTTTCTGGCCAAGGATGATGTTGGACAGTGTGAAGAGCGTTGGGAAGAGGAATGCAGAAAAATTCGGAAGGCTCGGCCCACTCCTCCAACCAGATCTCCAGGAGAGCGCATTGCTGTCCGTATGAGTGAGAGATTGCGTGGAGGTAGAGCTAATGAAGGTGCAGACATTGACAACCCAGCAGTGCCTGAGAATGCAACTTTAGTTGAAACTGCCACTCCAGTTGAAGAGACTGCCATCCCAGTTCAAGAGACATTACAAGACCAGCAGTCACTGGAGCATCTGACAAAGCTACCCATAACAGATCTGCTGGACAGGAATCACAGCGCAAAACCTGACGACTATATTCCTGTCCTTCCAGCACATACGATATCCTCTTCAGCACCTCTGGCAACTCCTCCACAGGAGATCCTAGAACAAGGAGAGTTGTCTAATCAAGAGGAGTGTGATGAGGTGACTGTACATGTCGATGAAAAGCTGCCTGTGCCAAAAATGGATACTTCCTTGAGTAGTCCTTCCACATGTGCATCACAAGAAGAGGAAAACAGTGCGCCACGTACTCCACGGAGGAAAGTGACTGCAGACTGTGAGATCCTTTTGTCTGGGGTTGGAGATAGCTCCCCTACTGCTAAAGTGCTCAGACGATTGCCAGGACGTCTGATTACTGTAGTACAAGACCGGCCTCTTGTCCACCGACGGAGTCGGAGAAGACAGAGTTCTACAACAGAGAAGGAATCTCAGAGTCCACACACATCTGATCATCAAAGCCCTACACATGGCATCCAGTCAGATGAAAACTCCGAGACTGGAAGTCCCCCACCAAAAAGGAAAAGAGGGAGACCCCCTAAGACCAGAACAGACCATTCCCCTCCTGGAATATCTCGAGATATGCTCCCTGTAATATCATCTCCTGAGCTAGGAAACTCTCCTTTGTGTACCAGAGTTCCCGGCAGTTCTAGTTCATGCTCTAGATTTAACTCAGAAAGTGAAAGTAGTTCCCCTGCTGAGAAGAGAAAAAGGGGGCGCCCTCCTAAAAGAAGGGAAAGCACAGGCACTTCTCAATTTACTATTTCATCAGACATTCGTTCCCCCTCAGACACTACACAAGACAATCCCACCTTAAACATCATTACCAGTAGACTTGATCCAAAAGCTGATCCTGAGTTTATGACATCTGTAGCGCTTGATCCAATCATTCCCAGTACTGTTTCTGACATTCCTCAGGTGGGTGGTTGTGCAGAGGGTGCAAGCAGCAGTGGTGTGGATGATCCCGTCACTCCTCCAAAGCGTAAACGTGGCCGCCCACCCAAGTCCCTGGCAATGTCATGCCCTTTATTGCACAATGAAAAAGTGGACAGTTCTCCAGAGAGGTCCCTCAGCCCACAAATCACAAGAACTCCATTCCGGAGAAAGAAGAAACCAACGAAGACTATAACACAGGAGGAGCGGAGGCGTTCTTCCCCCACTCCCGACACAGATGACTCTTCAGGAGAAGAGGAAACTCCCATTAGGACTCCCTTTACCCGCAGCGCCAGTACACGGCTACAGCCCAATCAGGTGCCACTTGAAACCACTCCAGCCACTGGCTCTGCTTCCAAACCACCACGTGGACGTTCTCTTCGAGCTGTCCCAATTTTAGAGAAGCCTTCCACTAAAAGGCGGAAGGCCCCAAGTGTGAGCTCCCCAAGCCCCCCCTCTTCTCCCCAGTGCAGCTCAAGTGAAAGGCAGGTCACAGGAAGCAGAAAGCGTCATTGTCCTCCTGCAGAACGCATTCTGCGCAGCTCTCTCACGGCAAACCCAGCAAGTAACACTCGCTCCTCACGTCCCACTCCCCAGCTTCCTATTTCTCCTGGCAGCAACAGAGGCAGGAAGGCAAAGACGTGAGTGAACTATGTTTGTCAGCTGGCTGTGTTTCACCCCATGTGGGGAACCGCCTCTTACAGTGACTAGAGAGGCGTGAGAAACTCTTACTGGCTGTCCCAAGAGCACTGAAACTGCCCCTGGTAGAGGTTGGGGCAGGCTCTCTGGAGAGTGCTCTGCAGGACCACAGCCCCTTCTCTGAGAAATAACCACAATCTATGCAAAGAGGATGG